TACACGGGGTTTACATCAGCTTCCTCAGGGCACTACTAAACAGATGAAAACATACTGGGATGAAATTTTCACAAAAATTTGAAAATTTGAAAAGGTGAACGCATTCTTGGAAAAGCTGCCCTGATAAAGCAGTGACAACCCGGTGTGTGAAAATGTTTAATTAATTTATCACTTTCGCAGGTATATGTCGCTTGAGCGTGACACATTTTTTTCTCTTGAATGCACCCAAACACCGCGCTCAAGCATCATTTGAGCAAATATTTCTATAAAATCCAATTCTTATCCGATCGACTTGGGGATTGTATACATGTTTGCCATGAAATTTCCGTTTTCTTTATTAACCACATTGCCTATTTGAGAAAACGGCATTGTATTGTATCTTCGTGGTAAGACTATTATATTGTTGGCACAACGAGTGTATTCGACGTAGTTTTTTATTTGGTGCTGGTCTAACGCATCCTTGTGTGACCTTTGAAATGAAATTTGGATGAAATTCCCAAGAAGAGAGAGTCCGCCTGACTCAGAGGTGGATTCTCCTTCCACACCATAACCCCTCTCCTCCTCCCCACCTCCCCATCGTCTCCCTCAAGCCAGCAACTACTCTTCATAAGGTAAAGTAAATATTAAAACACTACAACAAAACATTTATATTTACATGTGCAGTTTTATATTTACATAAAAAAAGTCATACAAGTATGGATGTTTTTGGGAGTGGAACGGATTAAATTTATTTCCTTTATTTTAAATGGGGAAATTTGTTTCTTAAGACGAGTTTTCCAGGTAACGAGCTCGGTGCCAGAACGGATTAAACTCGTTAATAGAGGTTCCACTGTATCTACGCTTTCACTTCAGTTATATTTATGACAAAGCATTTAAAATGTAGCTTATATTTCTGCCTTTCTGTTGACATAGAAAACTTTTGTTTATTACATTATATAGATAAAATATTGATCTTCAGAAGGTTGTAGTTGTAACATCCATTATAAACAACATTATTATTGCAAAGAGTAGGAGTTTCAAAGTCTCATTTGTATGGTTACCTTCTCATATAGGTTTTGTCCAGCATGATGACACAAACAAGGCAGCTAAAACTGAATGTGATAAGCCTGAAATTGAGTTGGATATGGGCATTCCAATCTCTTCTGTAAATGCCGCAATATTTTTGGTAATTAGGGAAGACAGACGAGCAGTCACTGACACACAAAAGCCAGAAAGCACGAGTATAAAGAGCTATGACATGTTTAGAACCGATAATTATACGAACGGGAAGCATAAAACATCCGCTAGACAGTGTGACATTGTAATTTCCAGAATTAGGCTGGGATATCGATATGTATCGCAGGTGGCTGCAGGTAATGAATGCCCCCAATGGTGAACATTCCAATTGTAAACTATGTGAACAAGAGCTGGGACATGCTCTCCAACACCATATCTGTGATTGCCCTGTTATAAGTGACTTCAGGTCAAATGGTATGAGGTACTTTGAGCTCTGTGATTACTTCATACACTTATTGGAAGATATTCTTATGCTGTACCTAGATTTTGCTAATGGGGGTTAATAGATAACATCAGCCTTACATTTTATGTTCTCACCTGATTAGTCAGAGATTATTTTTTTTTTTGTTGAAGCTGGTAGTTTATCCATGATTCCATGTATAACTAACCATCCTGTGAGATGGGAATATTATATGAACTTATAGCTAGTTTTTTATATACAGTATACTGTGTAATCTTTCATATAGAATAGGGTAGCAGCACATTGCTGTGTATCCCTAAGCTTGTTAATAATAACAAAAAAAGTTAGTTCCTATGAATAGAGAGAGCGACGGTCAAGAAACCTTCTTTAAAATATGAATATCTTTCCTCTCTACAAATGTTCCAACAATGTGTAAATATTTCATTCAAAATGATCTGCTACCAGAAATTTTAGCCAAATATCCCCAGTTTGCTAACTGTAGGTAGAAACTAAGTGATTGTAACCTATCCACCGCTGCCCACTGGATGGGGGGGGGCGGTGTGCAGGACAAACATATCAATTGTGACACTAGCTCTCCACATGTCAGTTGCTTAATTTAGAAACTGTACTTGTGGTCGATCTCGAACCCATTGATGATGTGACGACTTATACTGAATTTTGTAACTAGTTCATCAAGATTGTAACTTGCTGCCTCTGTAACTCTTTCCACTACTGCCCACAAGATGGGTATGGGGTGCATAATAAACGAACTAAACTAAATAAGATCTAATCTCTGTGATTAAAATGCAAAAATGACTTTGTCACTGCCTTTTTGATATGATACAATCATAAGCTTTATTTGTGAATCGCTATTAAACAGTAAATCAGAGAGCGTATAGGGTTCGGTGTTCCATGTGCGAAGAAATGGAGATTTTATATAAGTACAGTACATGGTAGTTTAAGTAGCAAACGCATACCAGCAAATAACAATTAGTATCTATAACAAAACTATTGTTCTATGGAGTCGATTTAACTTCCAGCCATGTATTTTTAAATAATCTTTAATGTTTTCTGGCTAGTTATTTTAAATTTCATTAAAAAAATGCATTCTACTTGTTAACATCATAAATTAAATTTGCAATAATTTGAGCAGAGAAGTGCGACGAATGGATGACTGTACAGAAGGCTGATAAGTCAGCAAACACTTTCCAGACAACAATATATCTTGGATAAGTCGCTCCACAATATTGTTGCTTGGACCATCGACTTCCTTTGATGTTACATATATACATCTTATTTTGTTATGAATTTATATTTTTTCAGAGTAAAATTATGTTTTCTCATGTTCTGCATCCAGCACCAACATTATAGTGAGTAAATATACCATATTACTTCAATAATTACGTAATGCTAGGAGGGTTTGAGTAGCTTTGGGTCTTTAGGTGGACCGAATCTCCAATAGATGAGGCGAGAGTCACCCTATTTCTTGCCCAGGCAAGTCGAAACTTAAATTAAAATTGCTATATCTTTCGTCTCCAACATGATATATTTCCTTTGATGCACTCACAATAACGATTATAACTCAGTCTTTCTTTAGGAATGTAATATTTTAGGCTTTATTGGCATATCTTTGTTAATTACACAATATATTAGCAAGTGTGTATGCGTCTGCACTCCATGCCCGACAAGCTACTGAACACCACTATAAAAACATGTATCTTCACTTGAGCTTTAAATATTTATATTGTAATGTATTTAAATTGAAGCTTATATTTCTAGCTTTCTTAAGACATATAAAACATTTGTGTTTATTAACGAATTTATGTAAAATAGACATTGTTCTGAGAGAGAATTGCTCTGTCGATCAGTCTGTGCAGGGGTCGGAGCTCTTTGATTATTTAAACAGATGAATCTTCATTAGAACTTTAATTATATCTATGGTAAAGTGTTTAAAATGAACCTTATATTTCTATCTTTCTTGGGGCCTACAAAACATTTACGATTATTTACATATTTACGTGAAATAAACATTGTTCTGAGAGTGAGAGTTGCTCCGTCGATCGATCTGTGTGGGGTCGGAGCTCGGCGATTATAAAAGTACACGTATCTTCGCTTTAAATTTAAATATGCACATGGTAGGGTATTTAAAATGAAGCTTATATTTCTGTCTTTATTACGACATATAAAACTCTTACGTTTATTAAAGACACTGCGTGAAATAGGCATGGTTCTGAGATGAATACTGCGGGTTTCGAGCTGGACGAGCGATGAAAACTGTCACTTTTAAAACAACTACAAATATCTTCGGTTTACTTAAAATATTTGTCTGGTAGAGGTTTTATATATAGATCATGTTTCTGTCTTTCTTCCTGACTAATAAATAATTTTGGTTAAATAAGTTATCAAGATGTTTTCAATAATATTCTTTCGGCGTTCGTCTTTTCCAACACGGACGACCCTTTTGGAAATGCGATACTTGGGTTAACCATTACATAGTTGGGTCTGATTCCAACTGGGGTTCGAATAGTATCATCAGCAAATAGTATAGGTTTAAGAATGTTAGAAACAATTGGCAAATCATTGATAATGTTAACATTATCAATATGAAGTTGAATTTGGTTTGATGATTTACTTCCAGTGAGCTCAGGTGAGTTCGAGTGATTTGTTGTAGAGAAATGCAATGGCCGGAGGTAAAAATCTAGAACTGTATTCAACTGTAAATATCTGTTGTTAGTGCCCTCTTTAGAAGGACATAGCTGCTGTGAAAAAGTTCAACACCAGGCAATAAAAATCATTCCAGAACTAAGTAGACTCATACTAGAGGGGCCACATGACGGGGCGGATCTCATAAACTTTTATAATACTGAATAATTTGGAGGATGTTGATTCGGAATATTTCTTCAAAAGGCCAAATGTAACACAAACAAGGATCAACAGGTTCAAGCTCAACAAGATGTAGGACTGAGAACGACGTTTTAACAAACAGGATTTATTAATCCTGTCAATCAATCTTATATTGTTTCTGCTGTATTGTGCCTACCAATTTGTTGTCAACTACCATTTTAAGCTGTCATTGCAATCAATCTTAGCTACCTATGTGCTTTAATATACTGTACCTACAATTTTCTCTCATCTTTTTTTTTTTTTTTTTTTTCATTTCATGTAATGTTATCATTTTTTTGTCTATAAATTTTGCATGTATTTACCTCCTTAAAATTTTCTTAGATTAAGGACCTGCCCGAAACGCTGCGCGTGCTAGTGGCTTTACAAGACTGTAATTACCATATTTGTATCCTCACATTCCTTATGTACATTCTTGTATATGCATAAATAAATAAATAAATAAATTAACCAACCGAAGCCGTAAACGCCAAAACACCTCAAAATTGTTAAAATCCAAATGGAAAAGATCATCAGGGTAAATAGGGAGACCATTAACAAGCCGTCGGTTTTCTGTTCTCGACGAGGCCACTAAAGTGTTAGTGGTCCTCGGGTAAATTCAGGTAAATAACTAGAAGCAGTACAAAATTTTAAAATGACATACCCATTGGATAAAACCGCACGTGTTTCAACTTTATCACGGAGTTGAGTAGTAGTTGACACATATCTGGACTGTAGTATGTATCTTGATAATTGACCAGACTTGCCACAGTGTCTATATACTTTATACATTGTGTAGCGGCACACACAGCACCTCGCGGCCCGCCAGTAATGTTTACATCCGTGACGTCACGCAGACAGATCGCACACATATTTTGACCATTTCGGACACAAAATTTGTACGTTTCGTATATGTATTATTGCTCAATATTAAAACCCAGATATAATGCTATTATCAGTTAAAATCTTCTACTTAACAGGCATATAGTTATTAAATCAAGTTTAGTGATGTGATGAACATAATTTGGGTTTCGTAAGAACGCCGCCCGCCAGCGTAAACGCAACAAACCCGAATGTCCACAAACTTGATCGTGTTTGATCGTTTATTTATAATAATAATAATAATAATAATTTTTATTTAGGCAAAGGTACATACATAAAGATATTTTACAAAGTTTGTTGGCTTTATAGATAGAGCTAGTACATACAATGCCTAAAGCCACTATTACGCAAAGCGTTTCGGGCAGGAAAAAACACTACAGACTAAAGCTTAAAACTAATGGGTAAAAAGAAAAAAATGCGTTGAGTACAAATAAAAATAGAGGTAAAAGAGGGGGGAACATTGTTGAAAAAACAGCACAAATACAATTACAAATTATTACAGAAAATTACATTAAAACAGCGTTGATTTGAAAAACAAAAAAAAAACAAAAAACATACATGGGTTGACAATAGAGGGGTAAGGTAGGTTACAGGGAATTTATTAGGTATAGCTTCGTTTTTAACTTAAACTGGTTGAGAGAGGTACAGTCTTTAACATGGTTGGGAAGGTCATTCCACATTCTGGGCCCCTTGATTTGTAGAGCATTTCTGGTTGGATTAAGTCGTACTCTAGGAATATCAAAACTGTATTTATTTCTGGTGTGGTGCTCATGGGTTCTGTTACAACCTTCTATGAAGCTTTTGAGATCAGGATTGGCATTACAGTTTAGCGTTTTATATATGTATAATACACATGAGAGAATGTGCAGTGACTTAATGTCTAACATATTCAGGGATTTGAGTAGGGGGTACCGAGTGATGTCTGGGGCCAGAATTGGATATTGTCCTAATAGCAGCTTTGTGTTGAGTAATTAGAGGACGTAAGTGATTTTGGGTAGTAGAGCCCCAAGCACAAATACCATAGTTTAGATATGGATAGATAAGGGAGTAATAGAGAGTCACCAGGGCAGGGCGTGGTACATAATATCTGATCTTAGAAAGAATGCCCACAGTTTTTGAAACTTTTTTTGATATGTTTAGAATGTGTCCCTGGAAATTCAGCTTGTGGTCAATGAGAATGCCAAGGAATTTGCCATCTAATTTGTTACAAATTTGGGTATTGTTTATTTTGAGATTTATTTGATTAGAGGATTTATTGCCAAACAGAATATAGAAAGTTTTGTCAATGTTAAGGGTGAGTTTGTTGGCAGTTAGCCACAGATGGACTTTATTTAGCTCAGTATTTACTGTGGCATTTAGAGCAAGGGGATCAGGACTGGAGTAAATGAAGGTTGTGTCGTCAGCAAATAGGTTTGGTTTGAGGTGTTGGGAGGCATTTGGAAGGTCATTAATGTAGATGAGAAAGAGGAGAGGGCCAAGTATGCTGCCCTGGGGAACACCAATGTTGATGGTTAGGGTGGGAGAAATTGTATTATTCACAGAAACACATTGGAGCCTGTCAGTAAGGTAGGATTTGAGGTATTGTAGGGAGTGTCCTCTGACACCATAATGATGTAATTTAAGAAGAAGGTTTTGGTGGTTGACAGTATCGAAAGCTTTACGCAGGTCATTTATTTATTTATTTCATTTATTTATTTTATTCATTTATAAGAAGGTTAAATTCATTTATTCATACAAGAAGGTACATTGGGATTGTGAGGATACATAGTATAGTAATTACAATCTTGTAAAGCCACTAGTACGCGCAGCGTTTCGGGCAGGTCCTTAATCTAAGAAAATTTTATGTAGGTAAATACTTGCAAAATTTATAAAAAAAAATGATAACAGTTACAAAGCAAGAAAAAAAATAAAAGATGAGAGAAAATTGTAGGTATATTAAGCACATATGTAGCTCAGATTGATTGCAATGACAGCTTGAATGGTAGTTTAACAAAAATTAGTAGGCACAATACAGCATATATGGCTAGCACATAAAAGAAGACAGCAATGAACACAATAATAAAGTTGTTTGGGTTAAGTACATAAAGATTGGGTAACACTAGATACAGAGCAAATTTAAAGATCAGTGTAGGAAACTACGAAGATGAAATTAACTACTTTTTGGTTTTGTTTTTAAATGAGGCAAAAGTTTGACAGCTTTTCAATTCACTAGGGAGTGCGTTCCATAGACTAGGTCCCTTAATTTGCATAGAGTGTTTGCACAGATTAAGTTTGACTCTGGGGATATCAAAGAGATATTTATTTCTGGTGTGGTGATAATGGGTCCTATTACATCTGTCCAGGGAGAGTTTCAGAGCATGGTTTGCATTTAAGAACAGGGTTTTGTAGATGTAGTTGACACAAGAGAATGTGTGGAGGGAGTTAATATTTAGCAAGTTTAGGGATTTAAACAAGGGAGCTGAGTGTTGTCTGAAAGTAGAATGTGTTATTATTCTGATAGCAGATTTTTGCTGGGTGATGATGGGCTTAAGGTGGTTTGTAGTGGTTTTTTAAGTGTTACCTGGGACGCGGTCGGGTCAAGAAGTACCTGCTTTGCGACTAGGAGTGAAGTTGGTATTGGTGTTTAGCTCTGTCTACACACAAGGAGACTGACTAGTATTAATCGCCTTCTACACATCTCCCCCCGTGCTGGGTACTGAGATGGAGACTCAGTCACCAGAAGAACTGGCTACTTCCCACGGCAATATTCACATGGACTCAGAAAGCAGCCAGTCAGTCGAGGAGGGTGAGTTTCAAGAAGTTCTAACCAGGCAACAGAAGAAACGGAGAAGAGATGATGTAAGGCTTAGTGTTGACTGTAATGGTACACATAACGGAAACGACAAGAGAATGAAGAACGACGCCGAGACTGATCAAACCAGTGTCGACGAACGGACAGAACTATGTTAGGAAGGTGAGGGTCAGCGGAGGTGGAGGCTTCTCTTCCCTGCCTCATGCACACTGGCCTATCATCAGAAGCTGCTGTGGACAGCCAGACTTGGAAGAGAACACCGCAAGTTCGAGCCCCTGCTGAAGGAAGGTGTGAACAGACCTTACTTAACGGTAGGTTCTATGGAGGCAGTTGTATTTCTTACCCAGCAAGGATATGAAGGAATTGTTATGGAAATACCGGAGGAGAACGAGAAGCTGACGAAGGTAATTATCTATAAATACCCTCAGATTCTAGACCCCGAATTCATCCTCGACGACCAACGACTTGTGTGGGCCAAGCGTCACCTTATGAAAGGTGAAGCTAGGAATCAGGTGGTGGCTCTAGTGAGAGGTGAAGTTCCCGAGAGAGAGTTCATCACCGGGGCTGGCTACAGGCATGTAGCAAAGTATGTAGAAGAGCCCATAATATGCCTGAAATGCTGCAGATGGGGGCATAAATCCTGGAGCTGTCAAAATGATCCACGATGTCGTTTCTGCGGAAAGTCTCACCTCTCTAATGTGTGTAGAAACAGACTTAATCTGGGTGAGAAAATAGTTCCCAGATGCTGCAACTGTGGAGGCGTTCACAATGCCAGCTCAGCTGTGTGTAGCAAGAGGCCGAGTATGGCTGTTCTCCGGCCGGTGAATGTTACAGAGCAAGCAAGAGCTCTTACCCAGACACCGGGAGCACAGCAAAACAGTCTGCCCCAAACAGCACCAGTGAACCGGACGAATGCGTGGGTAAAGGAGTCACCTTTACTTCGTCAGGCTCAAGCAACAAGCAGCCACGCCACCACTCAGGACTCCGGCAGTGACAGTGTAACGGTGAGTGAAGTGGCTACTGTGGCTCAGAAAGAGGGCCATAATGATATGGTCAAGGAGGTGTGGGCTGAACTAAGAAAAGTTGGCGAGTTCCTCCGAAATCTTGGGCAGAGAATCGAATCCATCGAGGTGAAATTATACATTCAGGTGAAGGTCAAGGAAAGTCACAAAACAGTGAAGGAAAGTCAGGGTATAGTGGCTGAGGACATTAATGAAATATTGAGTGATGAAATGAAGGAAAGTGAAGTGTGTGAGAATGATGATAGTCGTAGTGAAAGGAAGAACCCTATAATTACACATAAAATGAAGGAATCATTTGGGCCAATAATGGACGTCACAGGATTGAAAAAATCTCTTGAGAAACGCAATGTCGCTTTTACTGGTGAACTTGGGAGGAGGTGGGAGATGTTATACAAGGTATGGCTATCATTTAGTGAACTTATTGGGATGACTTAGACAGTGAATTGTTTAATAATGGATCACCCTAGACTGAAAGTGTTGTCATGGAATGTTAATGGTTTAAGAAACAGGGTTACAGATGTTCATTGTTATGTGATGGGAAATGATATTGATGTTGTAGCTCTCCAGGAGACAGGGGATAGGAATGAAGGCTTATTGAAATTAAATGGCTATAAAGGGTTTCACCTCTTCGCCGCAAATAACATCAGAGGGACGTCGATTTATGTTAAGAACTCCATACCAGCAGAGTTAGTAGAACCGCCATCAAAAACGCAAGGTATAGAGTGTCTGTGTTAAGTTATCATTAAGGGAAGGGGAATTTATTGTAGTTAATTTGTATGTATCCAGGAACTGCTTCGACGCTAACTATTTACCTGACTGCATTTATACTAATCCTTTACTGGTCATTGGGGACCTTAATGCTCGGCACACAAGCCTTGGGACAGTGATTTTTTTTTTTTGAGATATATACAAGAGTTGTTACATTCTTGTACAGCGTAGTACACGTAGCGTTTCGGGTAGGTCCCTGGAACACGATCCCCGTATCCAGGAACTGCTTCGAAGCTAACTATTTACCTGACTGCATTTATACTAATCCTTCACTGGTCATTGGGGACCTTAATGCTCGGCACACAAGCCTTGGGACAGTGGGTAGTATTAATGCTAATGGGGTCAAGTGGTTACAGTTTCTACAAGATCATCCA